TCTTGCAGTGTGTTCCTCTCCATTCTTCCTCCAGACTCTGGGTCCTTGGTTTCCAATGAGATGCAAAAGTTGCTCTCATCTGAAAAGATGACTTTGGACCACTGAGCAACAGACCAGGTCTGTTTTTCTTTAGCCCAGGTAAGACGCTTCTGATGTTGTTTGTTGTTCAGGAGTGGCTTGACAAGAGGAATACGACGTCTGAAGCCCATGTCCAGGATCCGCCTGTGTGTGGTGGCTCTTGATGCACTGACTCCAGTCTCAGTCCACTCCTTCTGAATGTCCCCAACACTTTTGAATGGCCTTTTCCTGACAATCCTCTCCAGGCTGTGGTCATCCCTGCTGCTTGTGCACCTTTTTCTTCCACACTTTTCCCTTCCACATAACTTTCTATTAATGTGCTTTGATACTACACTTTGGGAATATACAACTTCCTTCGCAATTACCTTTTGAGGCTTTCCATCCTTATGGAGGGTGTCAATGATGGCTTTCCGCACAACTGTAAGGTCAGCAGTCTTCCCCTGGATTGTGATTCCTACTGAACCAGACTGAGAGACCATTTAAAGGCTCAGAAACCCTTTGTAGATGTTATGGTTTACTTAGCTGATTAGAGTGAGACACTGTGAGCCTAGAATATTGTACCTTTTCACAATATTCTAATTTACTGAGATTGTGTATTTGGGGTTTTCATGAGCTGTAAGCCATAATCATTGCACTTAAGACAAATCATGGCTTGAACTATCTCGCTTTGCATGTAATGCGTCTATCTCATATATTAGTTTCCCTTTTTACATTGCATTACTGAAATAAATGAACTTTTGCACGATATTCTAATTTTTTTTTTTAATTCCTATTTTTTGAGAACAATCTTTTTAAAGGGGTACAGAAAGGAAAATAGGGGAAAAAAGGGGAGGGGGGGGGGAAGCATTATACACAGATCAAAGGTTGCCTCATGTAAATATTGATATTCTAATTTCTTGAGTATCACCTGTATGTTAAAAAGATTGTTCCCTCCTCTATATGTTTTTAACCTTTTATATGCCAAGGAAATTCAAACCTCTAGGGTAAAGCCTGTTAAGATATTATTTACATGTTCGCCAGTTCTTTTATATAACAGATATATGGTGCGACCCACATACTGTAGGCCGCATGGACAAATTAAAAGATAAAAGGCATTTCTAGTGAAACGTGTAATAAAATAATTTATGGAAAATTCTTTATTCTCATATTTAGTTTTAAATGTAATTCCTTTCAGCAATACTACTGTCTGCAACCTTTGCAAGAGCTCTCCTTCTTCCCTGTCCAGTCACAGATTTTTCAGTGAAGCTTAATAAGAAATATTTGCAAGGCAGGTACACATGTAAAACTGAACACATATAAAACCCATTCACACCTCCTGTCACTATCTCTCCTCCTACTTCTAGCAGCTGGTGACATCTCTACCAACCCAGGGCCCATACACAAACCTCATCCAAATACCTTGCAGTTTATCCTCCTCTACCAACATTCAGTGTGCACTCTGGAACGCCCGTTCAATCTGTAGCAATATTAAATCAACAGCCATACACAACCTCTTCATCTCTTATTCCCTCACACTACTAGCACTCACCGAGACCTGGCTTTCCCCCCTGATACCGCTACTCTGGCTTCTTTTTATTTTGGTGGATTACAATTCTCCCACACTCCCAGACTCAAATGTATAGGTGGCGGTGTAGGCATTCTTCTCTTCTCTCAATGTACTTTTCAACCCATCCTCCCTGTCCCTGCCCTATCCTTTACTTCATTTCAAGTTCACACTTTTCGCATATTTAAGCCCACTTCTTTAAGAATTGCCATCATCTATGCCCCCCACCCCCAGTCATCCTTGGCTATTCATTGAACACTTTCCTTCCTTGCTACCCCACTTTCTCTCCTTTAGCATGCCTTCCCGCTTACTTGGAGACTTTAACATCCCAATCAACAACCTCAACTGCCTTGATGCCTCCTGTTTGCTCTCTGTAACCTCCTCCTTCGGCCTCACACAGTGCTCTACTTCAGCAACTCATACAGCAGGAAACAATCTTGACCTCGTCTTCACCAATCTCTGTACCACCTCTAATCTCTCCATTGTTCCATTTCCTTTATCTGACCACCATCTGCTGACCTTTGACATTGGCACATCCTGTACCCAAATTTCACAACCCTCAACTCTCCAATCTCGCAGAAACCTCCACTGCCTTGATCTCCAGCATTTCTCCAAACTCTCTGTGACGAGACCAATCTCGCCACATTGCATTGGAGAAGCCTGGTTGCTCGCCTGCTGCCTTTGGACTATGGCCCCCTTTTAAAAGACTTTATTTTTCCATGCAGAAAAGCTGTATTCGCGCTTTTCTGCCAGTTGTTCGGTAGTTTCAATCTACCGAACAACCGTACGAATGACTGGACCACCTGGGAGCTGGAGTGTGCCGGCAATTAACCTCCCTGAAGCTGCGGTTAACCGCAGCTTAATTGATGAATGCTGGGTGGCCGCCATTCGTATCCCGAACACGAGGTCGCGGCCATTTTAAAACATACGAATGCACAGCGGTGTTCGCCTCTATTTTCATGGAACTAAAATCGGACACAGTTTTGTGCGAACACCGCTGAAGTCGCCGACCTCCCTTCTTGTTCGGTGGAAGTGCACGAACGGCCCGGTGTTCGGTAGTTTTGTTAGAAAATGTTATACCCCAGATAGGAATCCCATGGAGCCCATTCGTATGAAACTGACTGTGTAAAGACTTTAGCTCCATGGCGATTAAACTGTATTCGTGTGGTCTGAGTGCCATTCACCTAATAATGTGTACTCAGACCTGACCTATCTGGGGATATGTTACATGTCTGTGTTTTGTGGAATAAATGTTACTTTATGTATTTTAAAGTATAATGCTGGTTTTGTGTCCCCACATGTGTAATGGAGTTTTGCCTTTGTCTTGGGAGATAATTGAGTTACTTCCCAATTATCTCCCAGGGCAGAGGGGAGGAAGCCAGGATGCATTGTGGGAATATACTGTGACTGTGTGTCCTATTTGTCTACTTGTCTGTCCCTTGTCACAGTCTCCCATTTGCCGTTCGGGAGTTTGGAGCATTCACTTATTGGCGGTTCGTGAGTTTTGGTGATTCTAAAGTAGCTGTGCCTGGCTCTGAAAGGGGGATTATCGTCTAAACGGTTTTTTCCCCTTTTGTGCAAAACGGTCCGTTACACTCTCCTTTTACCTATCTCAAATCTCACTTGCCCTAACTCTGCAACCTCACTCTACAACTCCACTCTCTCCTCTCAGCTGGACATCATAGCACCGCCTACATTTAAACACAGTAAGCATTCCCAATTACAACCCTGGCACACAAAGCTGACCCAATATCTCCAAAAATGTTCCAGAACTGCTGAACGCTGTTGGAGAAAGTCTCACTCTGCACTTGAATTCCTCCACTATAAATTTATGCTATGCTTCTACACTCTGGCTCTTTCCTCTGCAAAAGTAAGTTACTTCAATACCCTCATAAGCACACTGCCCCACCAACCCAAATGCCTATTTCACACTTTTAATGCTCTCCTTTGCCCTGTTGCTCCTCCTCCTCCTACCAACCTGTCCACCTCAAGCTTTGCAATTCACCTCACTGAAAATATTTCTACACTCAGGGAAGAGATCTCTAACCTCTCTCCCTCCCCTTCCAATGCACACCCAACCCCACTCACTCCATTGTTCTGTGCTCATTCGCCCATACTACAATAGAAGAGGTTTCTGCTCTGCTCCGGTCCTCCTGCCCCACCAACTGTTCCCTCGATCCTATTCCCTCATATCTCATCTATACTCTGTCTCACTCTTTTACTCTTCTTCTCATTAAAATGTTCAATCTCTCTCTTTTCTCCGGCACATTTCCTTGACCCTTCAAGTATGCAACCATAACGCCAAATTTTGAAAAAGCCCAACCTTGAACCCAACTCTCCATCCAACTACCGCCATATATTGATAGTGCCATTTGCCTTCAAGATCCTAGAGAGAGTTGTGTGTAGCGGACCACCTGGAACCCCGACTGGGCACCTCCGCCAGGGACCGCTTCCTAGCTGGAACAGGGGGCAATCCGCAGAACTTCTTGCCCTCAGTCGCCGTGGCTTGACTGGAGTCCTGGAACCACCACCTCCTTCCTGGAGCCGAATGGAGGCACACTGTCTTTTATACAAGTTTGTCACAGGTCACAAAGTATACAAGCCATTTAATGCAATGTAACAATGAACGACACTCCCACAATACAGTACACAATCCCTCCTGTCTGCCTGTGATACAATTAAGGTAGATAATGCAATAACTTAATTATCCCTAAACAGAAAACACACATATTTTTATAAAGTCCAATAAGTACCAGAAAATACAACATATCCCCATAAAAGTCACAGTTCTTCATCCCCTCCCTCCCACCATCCCCCCCATGTTTCCTCTCCTGCAACTGTCAAAAATAACCTACTAAGTTCTCAGTGAATACTTTCTAGCAACCTATTTCATTACCCCTACTCATACCCTTTGTGTCACTATACCCTACTCCCTCTAGCATGTAAGTTAATCGAGCAGAGCCCTCAACCCCTCTGTTGCTGTGTGTCCATTTGTCTGGTTACAATTACATGTCTGTTTGTCCACCCATTGTAGAGTGCTACGGAATTTGCTGGCGGTAAATAATAAAATAATAATGTTGACTTGCACAATTGGTTAAGGATCGCTAATGTTTCATTATCTGTTTAGCGGTTTTTTATCCAGAAAAATAAGGATGCCTATAAAATTAAGTAAAATTACTACTGAAATATATATTTTTTAATGATTATAGCACATTATACTTATTTTATTTACTTCATCCGTGCTGACATTAATGATGTGCATGGGCAAAAAAAAAAAAAAAATCTGTTCGGCACTTCCAAAATTCGGAACTTCAGCAATCCCCTAACCCTCTAACCCTAACCCTAACCCCCTAACCCTAACACCGGAATTCTGAAAAGTAGCAAAACAGGAGAGGGAGGGAAAATTGAGGGAATGATGACAGGAATCAAACCCTAACCCTACTCCTACCCCTAACCTAACCCCTACCCCTAATCCTGTTAGGGGCATGGTTAGGTTAGGGTTAGGGTTTAGATTCCGGTCATCATTCCCTCAATTTTCCCTCCCTCTCCTGTTTTGCCACTTTTCAGAATTCCGAAGCACTTCAACACTTTCGTAATTCGTCACTTCGATTCGGTACGGCACTTCCGAAATTCGGCAATTCGGCACTTCGGCAATTTCAATTTGGTTCGGCTCTTCTGAAATTTGTCACTATAGCAATTCGGACATTCAGAAGCATCCGAATGTCCGTATTGCCGCTATTTGTCCGAATTTAAATTCGGACTGAAATGAATTGCACATGTCTAGCTTGCATGACAAGCTAATTGTATTTCACTTTATATTTAACATATATAATATACGTATAAGATCAAAGGCTTGAATTTGTATATATCCAATATAAACAAAATTCCCCACTCACATATGCAGTTTCTATTGGAGTGACTTGGTCTCCATAGCAACCAGCACTTCCATTCCAGTCCTTCCTGCCAGTTTCACTCGCCTGATTGACAGTCTGCTAACAGCTTTCATCGTCTTCAACCTCCCACTCCACTTCCGAGAGTCCCTGTCTTCTAGTCACAAGACCTGGCATGCATACATATTCTCAGTATGTACCATTGGGTAATAAATATAAAAGAAGCAAATTGAAACCAATGTGGCTTAGTAGGGAAGTAAAACAAGAGATTTAAAATGAGAAAAGGGCATTTAAAGCATTTAAAATCAGTCAAATCAGAGGCATCCTATATAAGATATAAGGATAATGCGTACAAAAAGGCAATTAGAGTGGCTAGACTAGAAAATGGGATATAAATAGCCAAAGAATGCAAAACCAAACCCCAAAAATCAACATCAATTCCAAAAAACAAAAAATGTAAGCGTCAGTACACTTGAAACAGAGATGGGTCTGTTACATGCATGGGCGTCCTGGATTTTTCCACTTGTTCTGCTATTTTTCGTGTCAGACTAAAAATACACTGCAATACTGGTGCTGGCCAGTAGGTGTTGTGTATGGAGAGAGACAGGGATAGGAAGCTACACATTATTCCTGCTTCTCTCTGCTGACTGAGGGATGGGGGGGCAGTCTACAGATCAGGTAAGTGAGGGATGGGGGGGAGCCTACAGATCAGGTAAGTGAAGCATACAGGGGGGAGAGATCAGGGAAGTGAGGCATGGGGGGAAGCCTATAGATTAGGGAAGTGAGAGATAGGTGGTGGGGTCCAACATACAGATCAGGTAAGTGAAAGATGGGAGGGATCCACCTACAGATCAGGTAAGAGAGGGATGGGGGGGAGACAGCCTATAGATCAGGTAAGTAAGGGATGGGGGAGGCAGCTTATAGATCAGGTAAGTGATGGATGGGGGTGACAGCCTACAGGAAGGGTCAGCAAGGAGCTGGATGATAAAGTAAGAGAAGGAGCAGAAAGGAGAAGGAACAGAAATGAGCAGCAAGGGGCATCAAGGAGCAGAAAGGGGCAGCAAGGAGCTGGAAGGGACAGCAAGGAGCACAAAAGGTAAAGTAGGAGAAGGAGCAAAAAAGAACAGGAAGGGTCTGCAAGGAGCAGGAAGTGTCAGCAAGGAGCAGGAAGGGTCAGCAAGGAGCAGGAAGGGTCAGCAAGGAGCAGGAAGGATCAGCAAGGAGCTGGAAGGTAAAGCAGCACAAACAAAGTAGAAGGAGCAGAAAGGGTCAGCAAGGAGTTGGAAAGGGCAGCAAGGTACAGGAATGGACAGAAGGAGCACAAAGTTAAAGTAGGAGAAGGAACAGAAATGAGCAGGAAGGGACATCAAGGAGCAGAAAGGGTTAGCAATGAGCTGGACGGGGCAGAAGGAGCACAAATGTAAAGTAGGAGAAGGAGCAGAAGTTAGCAGGAAGGGGCAGCAAGGAGCAAGAAGGGCCTGCAAGGAGCAGAAAGGTACAGAAGGAGAACAAAGGTAAAGGAGCAGAAAGAATCAGAAGGGGCACAAAGGTAAAGTAGGAGAAGGAGCAGAAAAGGACAGCAAGGAGCACAAAGGTAAAGTAGGAGAATGAGCAAAAAGGGCCTGCAAGGAGCAGAAAGTGATCAGAAAGAGAAAGGAGCAGAAGGGTGCAAAATAAGCAGAAAGTAGCAGAAGGAGCCAAGGAGGAGAGAAGACAGTGTCAGAAGAAAAAGAAGACTGTGTCAAATGAAGGAGAAGAAAATGAGTTTGGAGCAGGAAGGACAAGTGAAGTAAACCCTCCACTTTATTCTGGACACCACATCATAAGGCTTTGGTACCTAGGCCTGGTAGGGACATTTTGGACCTTCTCGTCTCCCCAGGTTAAAAAAAATATATATATATCAGTGTTAATGTGTTCACTTCTATTTTCTGAGTGTCAGGAAGTGCCGCTGGGTAGGGGTGCTGCTGATTGGCTAGAGCAGTCAGCTGGCACTCTAAGCCAACCAGTAGCTCCCAATTCATAAAAAAGTTAAAAATATTTATGAACCGGGAACTAGCGATTGGCTTAGAGCGTCAACTGACCAATCTAGCCAATCAGGGCACCCATGCCTGACGTTAATCTGCACTTCCTGACACTCCGTTTCAGAAGCCGAATACCACTGAGCGACCTGGAGATCTGGAGCTTGAGGAAGCCTTTGGAGTTAAACCATTTGAGAGCGGTTTAACCCCTTAAAAGAAAGAGGGGAGAGAGGGGCTTCCTAGCATCATAGCATTTTCATTTAGATGAAGTTGTTATGGTGACCAGAATGTTCCTTTAATTAGCTTAAAGGAACACTTAGTATCAGGAATACAAACATGTATTTCTGACACCATAGTTGTGAAAACACTATTTACCCAGGCTTTATGTGATAATGACTATGCCCCTTCCCTTTCATGACACTGTCAAAAAGGGACCAAGCATAGATGTCATTACAATTATGCCCCTCCTGGAAAAATTCCTGTGGACGCCCATGGTCTGTTAGTTAATGAAGATCAGGAAAAGGTAGAAATTTTAAATAACTATTTTTCTTCAGAGGATCCTATGGCAAGAGATATGCAAATGATTGCTGCAAGAAACTTGCAGATAATTTGTGATTGTATAACTCAAGATAAGGTGCTACAGCAGTTAAATTTGTATTATGTAAATAAAGCTCCTGGGGCCTGACGGTATTCACCCCTTAAGCAGCTAAGTGGGGAAATAAGTGAACCTCTGTATTTAAAGGACCACTATAGTGCCAGGAAAACATACCTGTTTTCCTGGCACTATAGTGCCCTGAGGGTGCCCCCACCCTCAGGGTCCCCCTCCCGCCCGGCTCTGGAAGGGGGAAAGGGGGAAAAACTTACCTTTTTCCTGCGCTGGGCGGGGAGCTCTCCTCTTCCGATCCTCCTTCTCTCCTCCCCGTCGGCTGAATGCGCAAGCACGGCAAGAGCTGCGCGCGCATTCAGCCGGTCGCATAGGAAAGCATTATCAATGCTTTCCTATGGATGCTGGCGTGCTCTCACTGTGAAAATCACAGTGAGAAGCACGCACGTGCCTCTAGCGGCTGTCAATGAGACAGCCGCTAGAGGGAATGAGGGAAGGCTTAACCCATTTACAAACATAGCAGTTTCTCTGAAACTGCTATGTTTATAAAAAAATGGGTTAACCCTAGCTGGACCTGGCACCCAGACCACTTCATTAAGCTAAAGTGGTCTGGTGCCTAGAGTGGTCCTTTAATCTTTCAAGAATCTTTTGTTTCAGGTATTGTACCAGAGGTTAAGAGGAAGGCAGATGTCGTTCCTATATTTAACCCCTTCCCGACCTCTAACGTGCAGGGTATGTCCAACAAAAAACATCAGTTAATGACCCTGGTACTCACCTGGACCGGCGATCCGCAGTGATCCCTCTGCTGCAGCTCTGTCCTCTCCAGCCCTCCAGGGCCATGTGATCACCACGATCACATGGCCGCAATTCAAGTCTATGGAGCTGCCAGCAGGGAGACTGGCAGGCAGTCTCTCAGGCACCTAAAATGTAAAAAAAAAAAAAATAGATATATGCGCTATAAGTGTACTTTGATATATATACACATATATCTCAAAATACACTTATAGTGTTATCATATATATGCATTATTTATGTATAATATATTATAAAAAGCTTCAATTATTATATATGTGTATTAAGGCAGTTTGGTCTGTAATTGTGGGAGGGGCTTAAATTAATTCACTCCCCTATATAAGGGACACCCCCTACCAGACTCCATATCGCTTGAGGTCAGCATCAGAATGATTTCCACTTCCGGGTCATCCAGACGCAATTTTACCTGGTTACTCCATGAGGTTTTCAAAGCTGAGCTATGTCAGGAATCCAGCCACAGGCTTTTCCATCTGACCAGCTTCTTTCTTCAATCCATCACCACGGATAGTGTCCAAGTGAGTCACAAACCGTAAGTTTACCTACCCGTTACGCCAGGCATCAGTCCCACGGCATCATGCACGGATCAGGTCCTCACTTTATGGCTGCATTCGTCTAAGTCTGTTCTAAAACCATTGCATGTTCGTGCATATCATTCGTTTAAACTCACTTGTTTATATCTGTCTCTGGCTCATTTCGAGCATTAGCATACTCCTGAACAGGAACACGTTCTGTTTCATTGCCTAACATACTAGTCTCGTTTTGTTTTGTTTCCCTGACATACCAGGCTCACGGTTCGTGCAATTTCTACCAAACAGGAACTAGTTCATGCATTTACTATGGTACTAAACACACGTTCCGTGTTTTAAAACCCACGAACAGAACACTGGTTTGTTACAATGACTTATTAGGCTATTATGTTCACATATGGTATATTGTCGAACAGGCAATGTTCGTTTCCCTGTCATCATACATCCATTACGCTGGGGCATAGCTCACTAACAAGTGTTCACATAACCACACTGACCCCTACAGGTCACTCTTAAAATGTCAGGTTAACGCATTCCCACGTTTGCTACAAGAGACTACCCTCTGCAATATCATGCAACGCACACCTCGAAATCCAAAGGAGTTTCTATTCTCCTACACAACTCCCTCACAGTAGAGACACTACGGGTCAAGAAGGACAGCCAAGGCAGATACGTGATCCTGCAATGTATAATTAACAATAACCC